GAAGGAAACTTAAAACTATAAATAGTATCCTTAAGGTAAAAGATTACAGTGCATCATTGAAACTGTGCAGGAGTCTGTCAAAAAGGAACATTAAGAGCAAAAAAGGGGCACCTGGCTGGCTCAGCTGGTAGAGCTTAAGCTTCTTTTTTGTTTGTTTAATTTTTTAAAAACATTTATTTCTTTTTTGAGAGATAAGAGAGCATGAGCAGGGGAGGAGCAGAGAGAGAGGGAGTCAGAATCTGAAGCAGGCTCCAGGCTCTGAGCTGTCAGCACAGATCTCAGCATGGGGCTCGAACTCACGAACTGCGAGATCATGACCTGAGCTGAAGTTGGACACTTAACCGACTGAGCCACCCAGGCGCCCCTAGAGCGTATGATTCTTGATCTCAGGGTCATGAGTTCAAACCCCACAGAGTTTACTTTAATAAAAAAACAAAAAAAGACCAAAGTTTAGGAAATTAAAAATATGGTAGAAATGTAACAGACAACACAAGTTAGAAGGATAAGTGTTGAAAGTAGAACAAGATCTAAAGAGATAGAAAATGTAAGGAAATTACTGTAGTAAGCCAGAGGGTCCCGCATCTGGGGGGAAAAAAAAGAGTTCCAGAGAGAATAGACAGAGGATTATATTTACATTGAAATACAGGAAACTTTCTCAGAACTAAATGAATCTCTAGTTTGTAAGTACTGATACAGAAAGTACTTAGCAAGTTAGATTTTCAAAAAGCCATTCAGGAAATTTCAGAATATGGGAATTAAAGAGCAAATTCTTGGGGCGCCCGGATGGCTCAGTTGGTTGAGCATCTGACTTTGGCTCAGGTCATGATCTCTCATCCATGGGTTCGAGTCCCACATCGGGCTCTATGCTGACAGCTCAGAGCCTAGAGCCTGCTTTGAATTCTGTGTCTCCCTCTCTTTTGCCCTTCCCCTGCTTGCATTCTGTCTCTGTCTTTCAAAAAAATAAAATTAAAAACGTTTAAAAAATAAAATTTAAAAAAATAGAAAATTCTTTAAAAATAAGATTTCTTCCTTCCAGGGAGAAAAAATAATCCCTGTTTGGAGACTCAGAAATGGGAAGGCATTGATTGGATTTGTCAGCACCACTGAAAGCTAGAAGGCAACAGAGCATTTATTTTTTACTCAGACTGGCAGTCAAGAGTGAGGATAAAATAATAGGAGAGATCTTAACAAATTTACCTCCCATGCACTTATTCTTCAGAAATTACCAATAATATGCACTATGGAAATGAAGAAGTAAATCAAGACAGAGGAAGACTCTGGGACTGAAGGAACAGGACATCTGCCACAGAGAGATGACTGAACATTAAGACGTTCTCTATTTGAAATTAATGCTTATACATAAATTTAGCATATTTTTTAAATGATATTTAAAAGTTAAAGTAGGATTTTTTTCTTAGGTAGTCTCTTTCTGTATTGTTTTAGAATAAGAAGAGAGTTTCTTCTGTGTCAACACATGTCTCAGGGTAGAGTCTTGCATTTCTCATTGTGACTTGCAGTCTATAATTCAATCATAAATCCTTTAACTGGGAATGCTATTTAATGTACAGTTTTATAACTAAAAACTTCTGTTCACAAATGTATTTGCTTCCAAGAATATTCAAATCTTTAAAAAACAATTTTTAACATAACGAATCCCATGATATTTGTAGAATTCTAATATTCCAGCATTTTTATGTCTGGTTTTCACTTATACCTCACTACTTTTCAAATTTTTCACAATTTTTGTTCTTCTTAAAATCATATAGTAATTTTTGTTCGTTTGTTTTTTGCTTTTTGTTTTTGTTTTTAAGTAGGCTCCACTTCCAGTGTGGAGCCCACTACAAGGCTTGAACTCATGACCTTGAGATCAGGAATCAGACACTTACTTATCTGACTGAGCCAACCAGGCACCCCAGTTAAATTGTAATTTTAATTGTAAAAGGCAACAAATTTGAAATTAGAGATCTGTTGTAGAAATTCATTTTGATCTGAATTTTAGGAATATTCATTCAGACTCATTATTTCTATCTAGGAAGTTGGGCCGGGTAGTTCTTAATTAAGTTTTCCAAAGACACGTTTTCACTAAAAATGAACACATTGAATCATGTAGTTTTATAGCTGCTTTGTGTTCCTGGAAGACCAAAAGTGTCAAGAAGTGAGGCAGGTTGGAAAGGTCACCAGAAATCTAATCTGAATCATTAAGTGTTGCTTGCCAAGGTATGTCTTCTGTCTCAATAGCCCATATAACTGGTTTTGCTATTAAAATTTTTTTGTTGTTGGGGCACCTGGGTGGCTCAGTCGGTTAAGCATCTGACTTCAGCTCGGGTCATGATCTCATGGTTCATGAGTTCTAGCCCTGTGTCAGGTTCTGACAGCTCAGAGCTTGGAGCCTGCTTTGGGTTCTGTGTCTCCCTTGCTCTCTGCCCCTCCCCTGCTCATTCTCTGTCTCAAAAATAAATAATAAACATTAAGAAACTTTTTTACTACGTGGCAATGAGAAAGAATGAAATATGGCCCTTTGTAGCAACGTGGATGGAACTGGAGAGTGTGATGCTAAGTGAAATAAGCCATACAGAGAAAGACAGATACCATATGTTTTCACTCTTATGTGGATCCTGAGAAACTTAACAGAAACCCATGGGTGAGGGGAAGGAAAAAAAGGGGGAAAAAAAAAAA